GTGTGTGTGTGTGTGTGTGGCGACTAATAATCGATACATTCGAATCGTGGGATGAATAATCGATAAACTATGAACTCACGAATTATAATAAGAAATAGTCTGTTAGTTCTTGCGAAAGCTCGGCGAGGCGCCTCCCGCTCGAGAAGACTTGATTCAATATATTAATATTTCAATCGAGATCCTATGTCGACGCGCTAGGCGCATCTTCGATATATATATATATATATATCGTATAGTGCAAAAAGGTATAGAGAAAGTGCATCGTTACTCTTAAATGCTAAACCCGACACGTGTAGACTTCGTTGTATAAGAATCACAAGGACGAGTGTGAATCTTTAGAGACGACGTTCCTTGCTGGGTCTGATCTAAGCGAGTCGTAAAGGACGCGAGAGTGTCTAACGCAATATTTTTGCTAATCCTGCTAAGTCCGGGTAATCTTAGAAAAAATACGTTCACACTTTACTCGTGAGTCAAGTGTGATCAAACTTTTATCCGGCCGCGTGAACATGCGATTGTTAACGAGCGCTCAGCTTGTGCTCTCTCGTTTTTGAGAGCCTCGCGCGATTGTCGCTGGTTCGTCGATCGAACCTGGGAATCTCTTTAGATCTCCGCTAAAAACAACCGTACGGAGTTGCTTCGAGTCGCGATAACTTGGTGAAAAAAAAAAATCGGAACATTTCCGGAAAGGCGTTTTAAAGAGGAGGCTATGGAGTTTTCAAACTGTTCCTCGAGTCAAATAAAATTAAGTTGAAAGAAACCTCCATGTATGATCTCAAGGGGTGCGTTCAGAAATCCTACTCGACGGGTAGAGTAGCATTTAATTGAGGAATTAAGATGGAAAAAGCAGAGATTTCTTTTTCATGATTGGTTAATAAACCCATCGGATAGGATTTCTGAACGCATCTGAGGGTGAAGTTTTGCCAATTTGTCACGACTAACTCGAGAGAAACGTCACCTCGAGAAGAAGCATCGTCGAGGAAAAGGTTGGGGGAAGTTCGAAAACGCGAAGCTCCTAGCTTTAAAGTGCCGCCCGGAGCACCGTTCTACGGTCGGCTTTCGCAAAGCTACGTCAATTTCAATCCGGTCGACTCTTCGACCGCTTCGAGAAACGATCCTTTAATTTTGTCGAGGCAAATATTCTTCTCGATACGACTTGTCCGTTCTTCTGCAAAATCGAAAGTAACATGTACTACATCATGCTAATTAACGAGGGCTTTTAGGAGCCCCTTTGGGGGGAGGGGGGAGGATAACACAGCAGCAACGCTCGACGAGAGACAATGACGCGATTCACACAGCCAGACGCCCGTCACGCGTTATTTTTATGTACCTGGCTGACGAATCGCTAATACATCTCTCGATCCGACGTGCTCGAACACGCCCGTCGACAGATCATCGAGATGCACTACGATTTCCCCTTGCGGAATCGCTGCCTCGCTTGGGCCTTGCTATACTTAGGATGCTTCTCCTTCTCACTGTTTCTCTCCGTGTCGATGTTCTCGAAGTCTTCCTTCTCCTCGGGGAAGAGGTCGACGGGCGGCTCCAACAGGGACTTTCTTTGGCATTTCACGAAGTAGCGAAACCCTTTCGCGATGCCAAAGCCGAGCATGGATATGGACATCGTCAGCAAAGCCATCAGCAAAGGATGCTGCTCAAAAAACAGGATGTGATAAAATTATGTTGCGAGCGATTGCCGTGGGGAAGTATTCTAATTTTGACTGTTACCCCTTCCACGATAATTTCAAGATATAAAGCACGAATCAATACCGTGAGAGTGGGCTTGTTTGTGAATACATAGTCGGCAATCACAACTATAACTCCTAAGATAATGCCGACACCAGCTCCAAGCCATGGGATCTGCTGATCAGCTGTGAAACAGTACAATATTTTGTTGTGTACTGCGGTTCACCTAATTCCAGTAAATACTTTGCCACTGTCGCTTTGTAGTACCTCTTCTGTCTTTAATGAGCGACTTGGACGCTTTGTTCATAGCCTCTAAGATCCTAGATTCACTTGGCTGCAGGGAAAGAGCTTTGTTGTAAGACTGAAGCGCATCGCTGAAACGGAATGTCCTCAGTTCAACCTCGCCTTTCCTAAAGTAGCCCTGAAACAAATCGGACAGCTGTAATAATATGCTTTATATAATTATAACAGCTATAATAACGTGCTTATTTTGTGCTTTACTTATACTTATACTTTAAAATGAAATTTTCAAAGAAGTTATTGATAGTATATTTCACGCATATACATGCATATATTTGTCTTCTTGTACATGATTTATTTGACGATATGGGTGCCAAATACCTTAGACCAGTCTGGCTTCAATTGAATAGTCATCAGGGCATCTTCCATGGCGTAGTGATATTGTCGCATCATCAAAAAGGCGAAGGATCTGTTACTGTAGAGGGAATAATTCTGCGGATCCAGCTTGATCGCATGCGTGTAATGAAACATCGCCTCCTCATATTTCTGCTCTTTCACGCAGGCGTTGCCCTGCTGCTTAAGATTATCCACCTAAACAAGGAAGAAGGACATTATATGCGTTGGTTTCGTGTCACACAGTAGTCGTACCACAGATTTCAACATTAGAGGTTAACGACAGACCTGCATGTCTCTCTCTCTCTCTCCCTCTCGGCAATTCGATTAATATGGAATATATTACATAAACGCGCAATCTCTCTCTCAGAATGTTATCTAGCTCTAATTCAACATTGATAAACACAAGTGCAAATGTTTCGATAAGCTCACCTCCGCCTCCCGGGCGTTCATAGTTTCCACTCTCCGCGGCGAGAACGTTTGAGACAAGAATCACTCGAGGTTTATTTCTCGCGGGGAGAAACAACGGCGGTCCGGCTGATCATTCTCGTTTAAATCGTCGTCGCAATGTTTCCTCGATTAGACATAATCGACGATCAGAAGCAGACGAACATCTGTCATGTCCACTGACCGGTAGGTGCATGCGCGCGAACGTTGACATGCAATTAGGAATGGGCGACATTCGGACGACGAATAGATGTTCACGATTCCCTTCTGTTTCTCCTTTTGTTGCTGTTTTTATTTCTTCTTATTTAAACGGAAGTAATAAAGTTCATTCAGTTCACTGGTGTAATCGTTCTGCTGACGAACGAAAGGTCTTCCGTTTTCCCGATAAACGAATAATATTATTTAATATTAAATAATATTCCTGGAATATTAATAGGTGGTTATATGTCCAATCCTAATAATATTAAAAAAATAATATTATTTAATATATTATTGTAATATTATATATTTTTTTCAATATTCAACTCTAAGTATATATATATAATTGTAGTTTTTTATTTCATATGTATTGCAATATCAATTGTTTTATTATATAAAGTCGAAATAATTTTATATAAAAATACGTTTATATTTACAAATTATATAAAATACGTTTATATATAAAAATTATATAAAATACGTTTATATTTAAAAATTAAATATATATATATATACTTTTTTTTATTTATATATATTATTTTAATATTATTTAATATTATTAAATAATATTCGTTGAATTTTGTCTGAATTTCCACATAAGGGAGATATGCGGCTGATTATCCATTGAGTCATACTACTTGTGAAATAAAACAGGTATCTGACTTACATAAAGTTACATCACTATTTCGATTCCTTGGTAAGTTTAGCAGCGCCTCGTAGCGGGAATTTTGGAAGTAAAAGCCAACTACGTATTAGACAAGATTCAAATTATACTTAGCCAAAACTTAAACCACATTTAGCAAATATTCGAACCTCTAGTGAACAAACTTATATTCGACACCATTAGATGGCGCCATAGAGTCCGTTTACATATTTCGAAGTCGTAGTTTACATATTTAATCAAGCAACACAGTAGTGCCGCAAAGACAAAGTATATGAAAAAATGAAGACAAACGGCAAAGGGAGACTTGAAAATTTTCTTATAATGAAAGAGAGTGTTAAATTACATACGATAAATCTATGATTTATGCTCTCTTATATCCAATTTCGAATTTTGTTCTTCAACTTTCAAAAGACTTTTTCTCAAAGTAAGTCAAAATGGTCATAAAATTTTTAGTGGGGGCCTAGGCAGCCTAACGTTAAAATTTCTTTAAAATAAAAGAAATATCATTAAACTAATTATACATGGTAAATTTAATTTATATCTATTTTTATTTTATTTACGATTTATTTTTTATTATTTTTATCTTATACCCAGATACTTTCAATTTTTGTGCTACAGCTCTTAACAGTTTTTCTCTTGACGCAAAAGCCATAATCGCAATAATCGGCTTGCATATATTCCTGTTATATTCATCTTTTCATCAATATTCAAGGTTACCACTTTTTCTATATTTCCAGTTACAAATAATCGTATGCACTAAAAATGCCAATTTTACGGATGCTATTGTCTCATTTGTACCTATAGCTGGGCGAGGATAAGGACAAGGAAGGGTGAAGATGAATCAGAGTCGTGCATCTTTTTTCATTCTGGCTTTATAATGTTCGAAATTCTTCATTTCATACAAATTAAGTGAGGGAAGTTATAATACAAACTTAAGATATATACATCAATATTTCGTGAAACCGCTCAAGTAACTACGCAACTCATCCGTAAACCCCGCCAGATCATTCCTATCGTAAGTCACCCTATCTCCACCTTCCGCTCCTTCTTTCATTCTCCTTCCTCTCTTTTTTTTTATATTATTTTCTTTTGCCGCTGTCTCGCGTACACTGTGCAACAAAACTTAGCAAGTCGCTCGAATAAATATAGTACTTTTTTTTCTTAATTAGTCGGAGTGCCCGCTCGAATCGGAGAATCGGCGGCTCGTCGCGTCTCTCGCGACACCCCGCCTCGCTCTTGGAAGTCACGAATCCGGAGAGATTGCGCCCAGGTTGCGTTCGGGACGAGCTCCGCGTGAACGTCGTCGCATTGTTATGCCAGCGTGTGTTCTCGATGCCTATCTATTTAATTATTATGTTCCATACAGAAGCGCACCTCGAACCACCGAGCGAGAGAAATCCCCCCCCCCCCCCCCCCCCCCCCCCC